TAATGCTGCTATGAACCTCTGTGTGCCAGTCCGTGGGAAAAAGGCAGATGTTTGCCTTTCTCTCTATAAATACCCAGAAGTGCCATTGCTGGGTCACAGGTAGAACTGTTATTTTAATCACCTGTCCAGGTGCCACAGCTGCCCAGTTGGGGTGTGATTCCCCAGTCTGTTCTCTTTCAAGCCCCATGTCCAGATGCCAAGCCCCTGGAGGTTACAAGATCCGCTCTGAGTCAAGAGGACTCAGTTTTCCTACCGAGCAGTCCCTGGGTCATTCCACATTTTGATTCCCATTTAGCTTCTGAAAGTTGAACCGATTCCGGGTGGTTCGTTCTGACTAATGATGTCAGCTGTTCAAACGAGGGCTAAAAGCCCATGAAGATAACACAAGGAAAGTTCTGGCTGCCAAGGCATCAACCAGGTTTCATGCCCCCTTCCCCTATAGTCTACAGATTGAACACGCTGCTAAATCACACCATTCTCGGTCCTTCCTGTAAACTCTCCGCTAAGGGACCTCCAGGGCACCAATGCTAATTTAGCAGAGGCAGTAGAGCAAGGTGGTTAGAGTCAGTGGAGATAAAATTCCAGGTCTATCAGGATGGTTTTAGGCAATTTGCTTCAACTTTCTGAGCCTCAATGTCCTCATCTGTAAAATGGGCACACCGCCAGTACTAACTCATGATACTGGAGGATATGAGGTATATAAAACGAGATGGTAGGTGAGCAGCAGATGGGGGTCAGGAAGCAAAGGGAGCAGCAGTTTGAGACCCGGCCATTATCTGAAGACCTCTGAAGCACGACCTTGTGGTTTGCTAAACATGCAGATTCTTGGGCCAAATGAAGGACTTACAGAATCAGAATGCAGGGTAAGGCCCAGGATCTGCTTTTAATTAGCCAAGTGATCCTGATGCTCACTAAAGCCTCAGAGCCCTCATCCTGGGATGCGGACCCAAGAGGAGTCTGAGGAATCGGCCGAGCTCAAGGATACAGAGACAGGTGGGGTGGGAGGACCAGGAAGGGAGTTAAGGCTTGGAAGAGCCACCATGGGGAACCGAAGGGACCGCTTTACTCTTCCACTAAGGCTGTCTCCTGGCTATGCCCCAGGAATCCCTCCTCCACCCCTGCTCACCTAGCAAGGCTCCAGCCTGGCCACACAGGTCTCCAGCCACAAGGACCTCATGTGGCCTAGTGGGTCAACTCAGCAAAGTGCTAAATGCCTGTGCAAGGCAGGCATTATTGAGCTAGGGTCAAAGATTTTGGTTCTAGGTTCGACTCCCAGCTGTGTTACTTCCTTCCTGGTTGGGTGAACTTGAGTGTGTTATTTCACGTGGGCCATGAAAAGGGTTTGATAAGTGGTGTCTCCCTAATGGAGTTGCCAGGACTCATCAGCGCGTATGGGTTAGAAGACTTTACATGATGTTAGGCATGCTATGCGCGGTTGTTATGCTACAGCGCTGGGCTTATCTCGCTTCCTTTTTAGGGATGGGGATGGGGTTGGTGACCACTGATAACCTAGGAAAATATTCTGCAACCCATTCTCTAAGGCTTAACACCAGTGTTCTTACAGTTGCTTCATACAAGGGTGCAAATCATGCAATCTCAATCAATCAATCAGTCAAATTTAAAAATCCCCCAAACCTAAAACAATCAAATGCTTAAGAGAAGCATAGAGAACGTCCCAGCGACGCACTGCACGCCCATCACCAACTAACCACAGAGACAGACCCTCCCTCCAGCCTGTGACCAACTGCCTTTGGGATCCAGCTGCTTGCTCGGGATGAGCTGTTCTCAGTCTGTGTCCTCTTCTGTCAAATGACCATCCCCATTGCCGCAGCATCTTCCACTCCCTGCCCATCCTCTCCGGCCCCTGGTTCCTTCCGACTTCCCCATTCCAGTGAAAAGGCATATCATTTTCCGGGTGGCATTGAAATCTCAGTGACCTTGGGTATTCTCTCCCTTCCCAGACTCCACCCCTCTAACATACACACACTCTCTGGTTTCAAACTGGCAGCTCCAGGACTACATCTGGCCCATGGAAGTGTCTTCTTTGGCCTGTGAAGTGTTTGTTATTTATTTTATGTAATATGGAGTAATTGCCAATATTGAGAACATGGGTGATCTCGCATGCAAAACTTAAAAATCTGGCATCTCTGGCCTAAATTCTCACATGGTGCTGAGTCATGGTCTGTCTTAGGGAAGGGGCCTGGCACCCCACTTTGCCACAATCCCCACCACTCCCTGCTGCCTCCCATCTGGCCAGACTTTCTCCTTAATATCCCCTGCTGGCTCCTTTTAGCCATTTGCAACTCCCGCCCCTATCCATGTTCAGTTGGCTCCCAAATTTGTTGCTTCTTTTTCCCAAAGTCCTTTTCAGTGATTCTTCCTGCCTCATCCATCTCCTTCTCACTTCTCAGGCCTGGCTGATGATGGTAACTGACTCCTCTAAGGCTTCCCCAGCTTCCAGGCCCAGCCATGCCAACCCTCCAGCCACTGTGTCTATCAGAACTTCAGTGTCCCTTACAGCGCACAGGATAAAGTCCCAGCTCCCCAGGGAGGGTATGAACTACCTCATCCAACCTGAATTCTTTAATTCCTTGAACACCCATTTTGTGCAGGGCCCTGCACCGGGCACCAATGATCCAGGGTGGAGAAAAACATGTTCTCTCTCAGGGGAAGACCAGGGTAATGTCCTGAACATGTCCAAGGAGGGAAACGGTCCTGGGTCTATCTCCCAGCTTCTGCAGCCCTCCACTCTCTGTGTCTTGCCTTTCTCTCCTCCCCCACCGCATCCTGAAGGCCTCCTCTCCTTCGACATCTGGTTCTGTTCCCCCTTCTCCCAGAAGCCTCCCACCACAGCCAGCGGGGAGTGGCTCTCGAGTTCTGTTCATGCATGTCATTTGTATCAGCCAATTGCTACTGGCCATTTAGAGTCGTCTTGAAGGTGCTGGTTTCATTCCTGCTTTCTCTCTCTAACTAAAGTTTAACATGCCAGGCTGAACACCTGTGTTCTCACTGTGGCCTCTGGGGATTTTTATATTTATCTGGGACTCCTCTAATACTGGGCATAGGAGTGTTCACAGGAAGCCTCAATAAATCTCTGTTGACTTCATTCATTCATTTCAATAAACATTGACTGAGCAACCACTGGGTTATCGGGCACTACGAACACAGAAGTGAACAAGCCAAAGGCCTGTTCTCACAAAGCTTCTCTTTTCCTGAAAGAGACAAACAAGTAAAGCGATAATCTGTCACGAGATGTCTGGAAGAGAAAACAGAAGAATGTAAGCGTAAAGGTGGAGGATGGTTCTTTTGACAGAGTGATCAAGAAAGGGCTTTCGGAGAGGACAACATTTTCACTGAGACTGACAAGGTGGCAGCAGACTGGGGAGGTGGGGAAGTCCCAGGCAGAGTGATATGGTTTGGCTGTCCGCCCACCCAAATCTCACCTTGAATTGTAATGATTCCCATGTGTCAAGGGCAGCGCCAGGTGGAGACAAATGAATCATGGGGGCAGCTTCCCCCACACTGTTCTTGTGGTAGTGAATAAGTCTCATGAGATCAGATGGTTTTATAAATGGGAGTTCCCCTGCACAAGCTCTGTCTCTTGCCTGCCACCATGTAAGACATGACTTTGCTCCTCATTCACCTGCTGCCATGATAGAGAGGCCTCCCCAGCCATGTGGAACTGTGAGTCAATTAAACCTCTTTCCTTTATAAATTACCCAGCCTTGGGTGTGTTTTTATTAGCCGCGTGAGAACAAACTAATACACAGAGGTAGCCAGTGCAAAGGCCCTGAGGCAGAAATCACCTTGGAGGATGGGCAAGATAGAAGGGGAACAGAAAACCACTTAGGAGGTTACAGCCCTTGTTTGTTTGTTTGTTTATTGAGATGGAATTTCACTCTTATTGCCCAGACTGGAGTGCAGTGGTGTGGTCTCGGCTCACTGCAACCCCTGCCTCCCAGGTTCAAGCGATTCTCCTGCCTCAGCCTCCTAAATAACTGGGATTACAGGTACTCACCACCACATCCAGCTAATTTTTGTATTTTCAGTAGAGATGGGGTTTTGCCATGTTGGCCAGACTGGTCTTGAACTCCTGACCTCAGATGATCCACCCACCTCAGTCTCCCAAAGCGCTAGGATTACAGGCGTGAGCCACTGCGCCCGGCCTATGGCCCTAATTTAAAGTCAATGTTGACAAATGGAGAAGAACTTGTGATGAGTTTGATTCAAGCAGGAGAGATGAAGGGGACAGAGGATTTTAGTGTCAGCAACCAAAAGCATGGTAGGGTGCTGTTACAGACTGAGTATTTGTGCCCATCCAACATTCATATGTTGAAGCTCTAACTCCCAACATATTAGGAGATAGGGCTTTGGGTTGGTAATTAAGGTTAGACGAGGTCATGAAGGTGGTCTGATGGGATTAGGGCCCTCATAAAAGAGATTCCAGAGAGCTCTCTCTGCACACGTGCATCAAGGAAAGGCCATGTGAGGGCACAGTGAGGAGGCGGTCATCTGCAAGCTAAGAAGAGAACCCTCGCCAGAAATTGAACACTGCTGGGTCTTAAACTGCACCCCCCAGAAGGTCTTAAACTGCACCCCCCAGAACTTCAAGAAAATAAATTTCTATTGTGTAAGCCACCCAGTATATGATATTTGTATGGCAACCTGAGCCCTTTACTGACACAGGAAAATCTCAAATAATGAACGAAATTTGCCTAGGTCTTCAGGTTGAAACATTTCAGAGACCGATATAGGAAAATGATGGGATTGGGTGTAGTGGCTCACATCAGTAATCCCCAGCACTTTGGAAGGCTAAGGCAGGAGGATCACTTGAGCCCAGGAATTTGAGACCAGCCTGGGCAACACAGGAAGACCCAGTTTCTACAAAAACTAAAGAATAGCCGTGCATGGTGGCAGCGTGCCCACAGTCCCAGCTACTCAGGAGGCTGAGGTGGGAGGATTGCTTGAGTCCAGGAGGTGGAGGCTGTAGTGAGCCAAGATCAAGCCACTGTACTCCAGCTGGGACAAGAGAGTGAAATCCATCTGAAAAAGAAAAAGGAAAATGATGGGATTCTATCAATGAAGACTACAAAAGTGTGTCTTAGGCACAGAACCCTGCATGTCGTTCAGAGATCCCCACTGCTCACCTGTCTCAGCCTTTGCCCAGTGCTGACAGCTGCTCTCGAAGGTCCCGCCCTGATTTCTGACCTTCCCCATCCTCCTTCCAGTGGAACTGCAAAACCCTGTTTTCTTTACTGCCGCTTTCCCTTGCTGTGGAAATAACAGCTTCTTTATAAGCCACACTTCAAAGTTACCACTCCCTTTATCAGATGGCCTGGCCCCGGAGCACTGCCTTGACCCACTGAAGACCAGGTGTTATGAAACCTTTCAGCTAGTTTCTTGAAAAAGTAGCTTGTTCTACTCAGCAGACCACAACCGTCTTACCTAGTTAAGGTGACAACTCACATCAAGGTGATAGACACAAAAAGAAAGTCGTAGAAATATTCAGCATGTGGCAAAATGTCCAAGATTCCAGGTTGAAGAAAGGGTGTTCTTACATAAACAGAACTGGAAGTTGAAAGGCTCTTCTTTGACAGATGATTTTTTTTTTTTTTAGATGGAGTTTGTGAAATTTGCTTAAAGAAAAAATAAACAGATGATATTTATATAAAACAATGCCTGGAATATGAACTGAGACTCTAAAGACGTTAAAGCAAGTCTAGTTTTCATGACGGCAGGAAAACAAGCTGTGTTAAGAATACTATCAGGTTGGCCAGGTGCAGTGGCTCAAGCCTGTAATCCCAGCATTTTGGGAGGCCGAGGTGGGTGGGTCACTTGAGGTCAGGAGTTCGAGACCGCCTGGCCAACATGGTGAAACCCCGTCTCTACTAAAAATACAAAAAATTACCCGGGTGTGGTGGTATGCGCTTGTAATCCCAGCTGCTCGGAAGGCTGAGGCAGGAGAATCGCTCGAACCTGGGAGGCAGAGGTTGTAGTGATCTGAGATTGCGCCACTGCACTCCAGCCTGGGCAACAAGAGTGAAACTGCGTTTCAAAAAAAAAAAAAAAAGAATATGATCAGGTTAAACCCCAGATTCCTAAGTAGAAAGAGGAGATGCTGGGCCCATCTGACCTACTCCCTGGGCATGTCTAGGTACAACTATTAACTGGATTAAGCACAGTAATATTTCACCTGCCAGAAGTTTGTTACACATGGCCGCATTCGGTTCCCACAACCCTCCACGAAAAAGGTAGGCATTGGCCCATTTAATAGCTGAGTACATATCCTCAGGGGATACGTTCCGAGACCCCCAGTGGATGCCTGAAACAGACAGCACCTGACCTTACACATAGGACGTTTTCTGATCTGATAACCCAGACCGCTCCTAAGTGACCAATGAGCAGGTAGTGTCTACAGCACCAATCTGCTGGACAAAGAGACGATTCACGTCTGAAGGAGGACAGTGTGAGATTTCATCACGCTCCTCAGAATGGCATGCAATTTAAAACTTATGAATCATATCTTTCCGGAATTTTCCATTTAATATGTTCAGATTGTAGTTGGCTACGGGTAACTGAAACAGTGGAAAGTGAAATGATAGAAAAGGAGCCACTCTTGTAGACAATATAGGATCATAAAGGGTTAAGTCACTTGCTCAAGATCACAGAGCTGGCAAGTGGTGGAACCAGAATTCTAACCCATGGCTGTCGAGCCCCAGAGTTCACTTACTTTCTCTTTTTCTTTCCCTTCTTCTGTCTCTGTCTCTCTCTCTCTCCTTCTTCTCTCTCTTTTTTTATTTCTTCTTTCTTCTTTCTTTCTCTCTCTCTCTTTCCTTCCTTCCTTCCTTTCCTTTCTTTTTTCTTTCCTCCCTCCCTCCTCCTTCCTTTTTTTTTGAGACAGGGTTTCACTCACTCTGTTGCCCACACTGGAGTGTGGTGGCACAATCTTGACTCACTGCAACCTTGACCTCCCAAGGTCAAGTGACCCTACCACCTCAGCCTTCCATGTAGCTGGGACTACAGGCACGTGTCACCATGCTCCACTAATTTTGGTATTTTTTTCTTTTTTGCAGAAATGGAGTTTTGCCATGTTGCCCAGGCTGGTCTTGCACTCCTGGGCTCAAGGAATCCACCTGCCTCAGCCTCTCAAAGTGCTGGGATTACAGGTGTGAGCCACTGTGCCTGGCCAGAGTTCACTTTCTTTTCCATACATCGTAAGTTCCAAACCTGGCTAGATACCTTAATCAGCTGGAGAGCTTGTTTAAAAATCTGATTCATGAGTCCCACTGCTGAAGTCTGACTTGGCAGGCCTGGGCTGGGCCCTGGGAATCTGTTTTTATTAAGTTCTCAGCTGATGATCTGAGCAAGGCGTTGCTGGGATGGACCACATCTGTGTCTGCTAGAAGGTCCTGTCAAGAGAGTCAGGGAACCCCCAGCAGAGCCCCAGAAACCAACTGTGGGCTCAAGGAGGAGGTTCCATGGCAAGGAGTGATTCATCAGCTGTGGTAGTTCCTGTTGTGCCGGCTTGGTTAGGCTGGAACTACTTTTCCCAGAATCCCCTTCTCTGACTGGTTCTAGGTTTTAATTGGTCAAAAGAGGAAGCTGTGGAAAGCTGGGAGATAGAAGTGAAGCAGCGGCCATTACACTTTAGAGGTCATCATGACTGGATGCTGTGAGAGACAGCACAGTGGGTGCCAGCACATTTGAGCCTGTCCTCCATTCTGCATCCAGCTCTTTCTCCTGACTGCTGGTCCTGTTAACCAACAGCAGCCCAGGCCCACCCCTGAACACTTGGCTGGGGATGGACCAGACAATGGGCTGGCTGTATAGACTTCTCCACCAGCTTGCCCGTATACTCAGGACCTGGTGGTAATGCCCCTGACCTAAGATCCAGGTGGTGATGCCCCGATAAGATCTAATTCCTATAATAAACCCCTTATCCCATAGGTCATAGAAGTTTGGCTTCTCTCACTGACCCTGAAGGATGCCATCATCCACTCTGTCCTGCAAACCTTTTGATCTAAAACAGCGGTCTTCCAGGTGTGGCCCCAAATCAACAGCATTAGCGTCACCCAGGAGCTGGTTAGAAATGCAAATCCTGGGGCCTCACTCAGACCTACTCAATCAGCAACTGGGGATGGGGGATGTGGCGGGGGAGGGGGGAAGGGAGTGCCCAGCAATCTGTGTTTTAATGAGCCCCCCACCCCAGAGGATTCTAACACAAGCTGAAGATGCAGAACCACTCATGCAGGTATTTAGAAAACCTGCCTCTAGGGAGGCCGAGGCGGGCGGATCACGAGGTCAGGAGATCGAGACCATCCTGGCTAACATGGTGAAACCCCGTCTCTACTAAAAATACAAAAAATTAACCAGGTGTGGTGGCGGGCGTCTGTAGTCCCAGCTACTCGGGAGGGTGTGGCAGGAGAATGGCGTGAACCCGGGAGGCGGAGCTTGCAGTGAGCCGAGATCCCATCACTGCACTCTAGCCTGGGCGACAGAGCGAGACTCCATCTCAAAAAAAAAAAAAACCTGCCTCCATTTCTGTTTGGGATGATGCAGTAGTTCTGGAAAAAGACAGTGGCGATGGTCACACAGCACTGTAAATGTGCTTAATGTCCCTGAATTGTACACTTAAAAATGGTTAAAATAGGCCAGGTGTAGTGGTGACTCACGCCTATCATCCCAGCACTTTGGGAGCCCGAGGTGGGCAGATCACTTGAGCCTGGGAGTTTGATACCACTCTGGGCAACATGGCAAAACCCTGTCTCTACCAAAACATACAAAAATTAGCTGATGTGGTGACACGCGCCTGTGGTCCCAGCTACTTGGGAGGCCGAGGTGGGAGGATCACTTGAGCACAGGAGGCAGACGTTGCAGTGAGCTGAGATCATGCCACTATACTCCAGCCCAGGTGACAGAGCAAGAACTTGTCTCAAATTTTAAAAAGGTTAAAATAGTTTACAAACAAACAAAAAAGCTCAGAAGCCATACACAAAAGGTCACATATTATGTGATTCCATTTACATGCAATGTCCAGAAAGAGAGAAAGGAGATAGGTGATTGCCAGCAGCAGGGATTGGCGGGGGAGGGTGGAGATGGGGACGGAATGCTTAATGGGTACGATGCTTTTTGGGGCGATGACAATGTTTTGGAACTAGATAGAGGTGGCAGTTGCACAACTCTGTGAGTGTACAAGATACCACTAAATTGTTCATTACAACATGGTTGATGTTATGCTTTGTGGATTTCTGGGGCTTGCCATTGTATCTCTGAGAGTTAGCATTTATTGAGATGCTGTGCTAAGGCTTCACGTGCAGTGTCATTTCATCCTCACCCCGATCCTGGGAGGGTGGCATTATTATTCTCCCCATTTAATGGATGTGGAACCCAGGCAGTCTAACTTCAGAATCCATGCTTTGAACGAAAATGCCATTATGCCCAGAACCATGAGTTATTTCTTTGTGTAGAAGACAGAAATGAGACATCAGCCAAAGCTGCCCTGATCACACTTAAAAGCAGTATCCTGGGCAGGGCCCGATGGCTCAAGCCTGTAATCCCAGCACTTTGGGAGGCCAAAATACAAAAATTAGCCGGGCGTGGTGGCACACATCTGTAATTCCAGCTACTCAGGAGGCTGAGGCAGGAGAATCACTTGAAACTGGAAGGCGGAGGTTGCAGTGAGCTGAGACTCCATTTCAAAAAAAAAAAAGAAAGATTAAAACAAAAAAAGAGAAGCATCCCAGTCACCTAGCTTTACCTTGCCCTGCAGCAGAGGGCCAGGGGAGAGGAGGGAAAGGAGGAAGCTGGCTTGCTCACGGGTCCATACTCCCAGGCATTGAGATAAAGCCTCACGACTGTCAGGTGTGCTTGGCTTAGATTTGGAATGAACTTATTAGAATGGAAAGATTTTCAAAAATAATTATGACAGTAACACCTAAAAATGTATTGAGCATGTACTGTTTTAAGTACTTTTATAGTTTAATCTTCACAAAATCCTACAACTATTCTCCCCATTTCGAGAAAGTGAGCCGTGGCTCAAGGTCACCCAGATCATTAGAACCATTTGAACTTAAAGCTGTTACTTTAATACAAAGTCAGACATGTTTCTCTGTGGGAAACTCAGAAAGTACAGGTTAGAAAAGAGAAGATAGGGAGAGAGGAAATAAAAATTACTTGTAATCCATTAGGAATAATCATTGGAAACATTATATTAAATAGTTAAATTTTTATTCTTTGTGTATTTTTTTGAAACAAAAAATGGACAGCTTCATAATCTGCCTTTTTACATTAGCAAGTTAGACCCATCTTTCTACATCTTTCAGAGCCTTCTGCGTCATCGCCATTTTGAATGGCCATGTGGTGTTCCCCTTGTGTAACCTTGTAGAAACCATAGCAGGTTTTCCAGGCTTTTCTATGGGACATTTGGGTTGTTTCTACAAGAAGACATTTCAACTGGGAAAAAATGTTTTAATGAGGTTGCTGAGATGTCTCAAACTTCCTCCCTGCAATGAGCAGTATCATGGTGGAAGGGCGATCAGCTTTTGGGGGTTGATATTCGCTAATGGAAAGACCCAAGCACCAGGCAACATAGTCTCATGCACATTTATTTCAGGGGCACACTTTTGGTGGGGGAAAG